TGCCCCGGCCTCGCCACAGCGACACGACACCATGACCAGGCACAGCCCCACCCCAGCGACGCTATGACCATGCCCCAGCCCCGCCCGCGAATTTTTTTTTCCTACAGGTTATATCCATTGCAGAGTTTTGGGCTTCTCTGATTGGCTGCTTTGATTTGCTTTGTCTCAACAAACCTTTAAAACAAGGGAACAAACGCCAATTGTAAATATTTGTTTTGGTTTATGATCGGTAGTAAGTAAGTTTTCTGATGTATTTTCCATGAAAAACACACATTTTACTCATTAATATAAAATATTATATCACTACAATTATAATTCTTTGTGTAAATGTGTTATTTTCATCTTAATCTTAAGTTGTGAGAGGGTCTGGGCTCTCGTAACACTTACTACATGCGTACGTATACGTACTCGTACTATAGTATAGCCCTTCACTCCGTCGAAAGAGGAAGTAGCGAAGGGCTATAGTACTAGAGCTATACGTACTCGTACTCGTTGACGCTAGACTGAGAAAAAGGTTTTCTGATGTATTTTCCACGAAAAACCTAAAACACACATTTTACTCATTAATATAAAATATAATATCACTATAAATGCAATTCTTTGTGTACATGTATTTTCAAATGTAAACAAGTACTAACACATGTGTCGTTAAATAACAAAGGTTTGTTTACTTTTTGCTCAGTCTAGCGTCAACGAGTACGTATAGCTCTAGTACTAGTCTATAGCCCTTCGCTCCTTCCTCCTGCGACGGAGCGAAGGGCTACTCTAGGCCTATAGTACGAGTACGTATACGTACATAATATGTAGTAAGTGTTACGAGAGCCCAGACCATCTCATAACTTAAGATTAAGATGAAAATAACACATTTACACAAAGAATTGTAATTATAGTGATATTATATTTTATATTAATGAGTAAAATGTGTGTTTTTCATGGAAAATACATCAGAAAACTTACTTATCTACCGATCATAAACTAAAACAAATACAGAATTTACAAATGGCGTTTGTTCTCTTGTTTTGAAGGTTTGTTGATTCAAAGCAAATCAAAGCAGCCAATCAGAGGAGCCCAAAACCATAGCCAAAAACTCTGCAATGGATATAACGTGTAGGAAAAAAAATATTCGCGCCCTGCCCCAGTGACGCCATGACCACGCCCCGGCCCCACCCCTGTGACACCATGACCACGCCCCAACGATGCTACGACCATGCCCCGGCCCCGCCCTCACTCACCTGCAGTGCACGACGGTCGGCTCGACCATGCCGATGCGGTTCTGACGCACCTTCATGACGAAGTCGACGAAGTCGGAGCTGTCGTCCGGCACCCCGTGGTCAGGCCATGAGATGTACTGCATCTGCAGGATGTGCCGCTCCTCATTGTTCTTCTGCGAGGAAGAGAGAGAAGAGACGAGGAGTGAGACGGAGAAAAGAGATGAGGAGTGAGGCGGAGAGAGAAGAAACGAAGAGTGAGATGGAGAGAAGAGACGAGGAGTGAGGCGGAGAGAGAAGAAACGAA